TGCATTAGTACCCGAATCACATGCTCCTATATTATTTATTAATGTCGCTCAAGAACTAACTGATGTTGAACGTGATGAAATACAAGATTTATTAGATTATTTTAACAATTATTGGATGCGTAAAATATCAACATGGAATGTTTTTAATACTCCTGATCGCACTAACAATTATAGTGAAGGTATATACAGTCAAAATAATAGTTTTAACAACTATAGAGTGGTATCATTTTAGGTTATAATCATAGATTTAAAAGACGTTTACAAAAGTCTCATCCAAATATATGGGTTTTTATGGACTCACTTAGAAAAGAAATAAATACAATTCATGATTTAATTGTTCAAATTAACACTGGAATGAAACCTCGTTCAAAACGATCTCAATCTAAAATTGCTGAACAACGAATGAAAGAATTATATGATCGATTTAATAATAACAAAATCACAGCACAAGATTTATTACGTGGACTTTCCTTTTTTGTTGCGAATGAAAAATAAAATAAAAATTGATTCGTTACTATAAATAAAATTAACTTTATCAACATTATTCTAAACTGTTTTTGAAGTTTTACTGAAAGGACATTTTTTATATGAAAGACATTTTTTAAAGGACATTTTTACTAGGGACATTTCATCTGAAGGACATTTTTTCTGAGGACGAAATACGAGGACATTTCGTCCGAGGACATTTTTTTAAAGGACGTTCTAGACTGTTACCGATTTGATTTTGATTTATTTATTCATTTAAATCATGATTAATTATCGAAGCCGCCTGAAGATCGTTGCAGCTCACGTAAAATCTAGATTATGGCAGCTCTTCTTACAGTTAAGATTCAAATAAAAAAGTTTGCTCTTTTCACACACTCGAAAAAATACTTATCGAAGTTAAAACAATCTGTTTATGAATTCATGTTTAAAAAATGTAGAAGACAAGTTCTCTTTAGTTCAAGGCGACGAAATAATAAAGCATATGAGTATAAGCGTTACAGTAGAGAAAGATTGGTTGCATTTGATACCAGAAATAAAGAGAAAGAAAACGTAAACTAATGTGAAAAACTTTACGTCCGTAAACATTTCTCATAATCAGAATTTACGTGTAACGGTACTAGATAAAACGCTGCTGTTTCCGATGCTGGTAGTAGAAACTGTAATTGAAGCGGTTATTGGTGTTGTCGCCGATGATAAAAGGCTGGTAATGATGGAACTCGAAAAACTACCTGTCGATCCTGTTCTTGTTGTAATTGCTGTTGTTGAACCAGATGATATGGTGATACTACTTGAATTGGTTCCTGCCGAAACCGATGACGTTGGTGACGTTGATCCATTATAACTCAGGAGATACGAAGGTATGTTCATACCTTGTGTACATGTGGCAAAATCAGTATTACAATTATTCGTTGTACAAAGACAAAGTCCCCCGTATTCATTGGAGCTAAGAGGCCATAATGTCGCAATACTTCTAGAAGTCTGATATGCATAATAACCTGAGCTGCTGTTACTACTGAATGCTGCTGCTGAAATTACTAGATATATCAACACTTCATAATCACCTTCAATCATGGCCACTTGTTGAAAACTGCCCTGCCATGGACTGTAGTAAACACCACATATGACAGTATGATTAGGACTACAGGAAGAACATCTTGAAAAATCTGGATTACCAAGACGGATCATAAAATGACAGCCCAAATACATAGGAGGTATAATATTCTGCGTAGCAGAATAATTGATATAGGCATCTTGACAGGTTATTATGTTTGATAATGTTGGTTGGAGAACAGGTATTGATGGTGGAGGCGAAGAACGCACCTGATTGACGGATACTTGACAAAGTGAATACGTATCGCTACAGTTATTTGTGGAGCAGATACACAACTGAATTGATGTTGCCGTTTGAAAATAATATGGACTGCAGTTGCCATAGCCAATATCCATCGTTGTTGAAAAGCCACAACGATTAACAGCAAAGTTACGATAGATATTTACAATACCTAGAGTAAATCGTTGCAGCACAGTTTGAATCGAATTATTCTGAAGTGAAGTGATAATCGCAATACCACAATAATAGGACGCCAGTGAATATTCATATTCATAAGTTATTGTACCATTGTAATACAATGTATCTGTTCTCTGCAAGCATGTTATGTGTGATGACATATAATTTAGGACAGTGGATGCTGACCCAGTCAAGAAAGGAGAAGTGTACGGAAAAAAAACTACGCTGGTGAAAATTATCAGTAACAGAGTATTCATGATTTCGATGCTTTCAACAGAATTTAATAGACTTTCTTTTTGCATTGTGGTCTTATATATTCACTTTCAAGTTATTGCAGTAATTCATCCAATGAGTATAGTGGAAAAGACCCATTATGGTTTTTTTCATACTTCCATCGATGCTGCTCTGAAATGAAGGCACTTACTCATCAGGGAGTCATGCTGCCGAGGAAGAAAGATGATGTAACTAGATGAAAGCGCGACAACTTGCTTTTTCTCCGATTCGACAACATCTATATTTACATTCACTCTCTTCTAAACAATGGAAAAATTCAGAATGAGGGTGTGGGTGGGTGTGGCTGTGGCTGTGGGTGTGGGTGCGGGTGTGGGTGTGGGTGCAGGTGTGGGTGCAGGTGTGGGTGTGGGTGAGGGTGGGTGTAGGTGTGGGTGTGGGTGGGGTGTGGGTGTGGGTGGGTGTGGGTGTGGG